CATATACATTTATACTTTTTTATTAAATAGGTCATACTTCAAGGGTGGTCCCATTTGGAGAAAAATTTCCACCCTCAAGAGTAGCAAGTAAATAACTTCTTTTTTATCAATTTGAAGTCGGTTTTTACTTTTTGTTAAAAGTTATAATTATAATTGTTTTTAGTTTCATAGTCGACTATTCCTCTTCGGCCTGTAAAATATTGTTCAAAGCAAAAATATAGGTGAAGACAAAGGTAGTTAGTTCCTTTACACGCATGTTATATGCTATAAATTAATGAAGTAAACGTGTGAACAATTGTTGTAGTACTTTATCATAGATTAAAATTATTTAATTAAAAGAAACGCAAAATTCATTAGCGGGATTATGTATAGTGATTATGATATTTTAATGAGATGCTTTGTTAAAGTTATTCAGTACTATGGAACACGACGATAAAAATGAAATATTAACATATTGAAAAATAACATAGATTTGCGTCTAAAGTTATAACTTATAACGTTTTTATTTTACACACACACACACACACACACACACACACACACACACACACACACACACACACACACACACACACACACACACACACACACACACACACACACACACACACACACACACACACACACACACACACACACACACACACACACACACACACACACACACACACACACACACACACACACACCACACACCACACACCACACACCACACACCACACACCACACACCACACACCACACACCACACACCACACACCACACACCACACACCACACACCACACACCACACACCACACACCACACACCACACACCACACACACACACACACACACACACACACACACACACACACACACACACACACACACACACACACACACACACACACACCACACACCACACACCACACACCACACACCACACACCACACACCACACACCACACACCACACACCACACACCACACACCACACACCACACACACACACACACACACACACACACACACACACACACACACACACACACACACACACACACACACACACACACACACACACACACACACACACACACACACACACACACACACACACACACACACACACACACACACACACACACACACACACACACACACACACACACACACACACACACACACACACACACACACACACACACACACACACACACACACACACACACACACACACACACACACACACACACACACACACACACACACACACACACACACACACACACACACACACACACACACACACACACACACACACACACACACACACACACACACACACACACACACACACACACACACACACACACACACACACACACACACACACACACACACACACACACACACACACACACACACACACACACACACACACACACACACACACACACACACACACACACACACACACACACACACACACACACACACACACACACACACACACACACACACACACACACACACACACACACACACACACACACACACACACACACACACACACACACACACACACACACACACACACACACACACACACACACACACACACACACACACACACACACACACACACACACACACACACACACACACACACACACACACACACACACACACACACACACACACACACACACACACACACACACACACACACACACACACACACACACACACACACACACACACACACACACACACACACACACACACACACACACACACACACACACACACACACACACACACACACACACACACACACACACACACACACACACACACACACACACACACACACACACACACACACACACACACACACACACACACACACACACACACACACACACACACACACACACACACACACACACACACACACACACACACACACACACACACACACACACACACACACACACACACACACACACACACACACACACACACACACACACACACACACACACACACACACACACACACACACACACACACACACACACACACACACACACACACACACACACACACACACACACACACACACACACACACACACACACACACACACACACACACACACACACACACACACACACACACACACACACACACACACACACACACACACACACACACACACACACACACACACACACACACACACACACACACACACACACACACACACACACACACACACACACACACACACACACTCAAGCCTGTCACCCAGAGGGGTAGGCAGATACTACGGACTACGGACGCGATCCTGATACACCTCCCTCGCCTCCATTACTTCCATATATCTAGACACGCTCGTCGGTTAAGGGTACTCCTAGTCTGGTCCATTTTCAATGTATCGCCGATTTGGTCGATAAACCTTCGTCTAGGGCGTCCCTTCCCGACTCTGCCGTTCACTTCTGAAACAAAAATTTGCTTTGTCACTCTTTCCTCTTTCATTCTTTCTACATGACCAAACCACCGAAGCATTCCTTTTTTAATCCTGGTCACAACGTCATCTTGCAAACCACACTTTTCTCTTTTCACACTATTTCTCACCCTGTCATTCAGATTCAGCCCTAGCATACTCCTTAATGGCCGCATTTCTACAGCATTTATTCTACTCTCATACTTCTTCTGCCAGACCCAACTTTCACTACCATACATTAAAGCAGGGACTAACACGGCATTATGAATTGCCATACGTGCCTTCTTTGACACATTCTGACTCTTTATAATAGCGTGTGGAGCCCCATTCACTCTATTTCCTGCGTTCACTCGTCGTTCTATATCCTTATCATATCTACCATCCCTGCTAAATACACATCCCAAATACACAAACTCATCTACTTCCTTGACCAACTCCCCTTCTATTCTTATTTCACATAACGTTTTACTTTCTTCTCTTTCAAAAACCATCACTTTCGTCTTACTTGCGTTCACTTTCATACCCCTTTCTTTTAATGCTCGGCCGCCGACGCTGCAAAAATGACTTGATCATCGGCGTACAAAAGGCATTTGACGGTTAACTCACCCATTCTCAACCCACATTCTTCAACTTTCAAAGTTTGCAAACAACTGTCCATAAATAGGTTAAACAGCCACGGGGATGCTACACAGCCCTGTCTGAAACCTTTTTGAATGCCAAACCAGTCCGAGTAGACCTCGTTGATCTTGACACAAGCACTAGAGTCCCTATAAAGAGACTTTAATGCCTGTATCAAACCAGCGCTCAACCCAAATGAGGTCAGTGTTTGCCATAACACGTTCCTGTCCACTCTGTCATAAGCCTTTTCCAAGTCCATGAACGCACAAAAAACTTTCTGGTTTTTGGCCAAAAATTTCTCCGCAATCATGCGCATGGAAAAGACTTGATCCGTACACTTCATCCCCTTTCTAATTCCAGCTTGCACATCCCAAATTTTTCGATCACTTTCTTCCATAACTCTTTCAATTAACACCTTAGCATACAGTTTACCCACAATGCTAAGCAAGCTGATACCACGGTAGTTTTTACAGTCCTGCTGTGACCCCTTTCCCTTATATATTGGGACTATAACGGCTTTGCACCAGTCTTCCGGTACCCGCTTCAGTTCCCAACATAAATTAAACAAGGTACAGCAGGCCTACAACCACACCCTCTCCAGCCCATAGCATTTCGAGTGATACTCTATCATATCCGGCTGCCTTACCTGCTTTCAAACTTTTCATTACTTTCATTATTTCATCTACACTTTTTTCTTTTTCATCATTATTTTTACCTACGCATAAATTTTTGAACTCAACAAATTGCGTTACATAACCATCTATGGTTAGTGTCTAAAGTTTAGTTCAATTAAAGTCTAAACGGACATCTCCTCATACATCACGACATGGATTATATTCGATTAATATTGAATGGATCGAGAAGGATCAGTCAATAAATTATTGACTGCTCCCGAATCGAAATAATTGGTGCTTCTCTTGAAGCATAACTATATCATAAGAATTATATTTAAGACTCACAAGTGATAAAGTAAAATATTTTGTACAACCAACTGCAATATTAATAAAACGAGAACAGCATCAATGTAATCGAAGTCAATTAAATACGCATTATTTAGGATAACTCAAAAACTACTAGTCAGATCTTGATCAAATTAATGTGGGACCTCATAAGACCACCAGCTTTTAAATAAAGAAAGAATCATCAAAATCGGTTCACCTATAAAAAGTTCCAAGGTACCTAACACGTTGAAAAAAATTAAGTCGAATTGAGAACCTCCTCGTTTTTTGAAGTCGGTTGAAAATCTACAATTATTTTTTCCTTGTTTAGCAACTACCAATGGATTCTGCCAATGTAAAATATTTCATGAAAGTCACGCAGTGTATCAGACTAAACTTTGCATACACCAACTTTAAATAACTATAACTTTGGCAATATAAACAAATGTCAAAAATATTAATAGTCACTGGTAGTAGATACACCCGTACTTGTAGCCTTCCGTTTCTTATGAATCATTATACAACGTGATACGTAAAATGAACACATTTAAATTGAAGTTTAATCCAAGTAAGCATTATCAGCTATGTACGTCGACTTTACGTACTAAAGTTCTGTTATGTAAAGTAAGGTTTAGTTAGCATTATGAAATGTAATTTTGTTTGGAAGTTAAACTTATATTTAAAGTAAAGTTTGAGTACGGTCTATGAATCTGATACTTAACAATTCAGTAACAGTAACAGTAGTATGGTGTACACTCGAAAGAAATACACGCATCACTGTTTTTTGTAACAATATAGATACATAAAGCATTAATTTACTTACGGAGTTAAAGGAACTTAAAGAAAAGTCAAATCCTATTTTAACTAGAATTGTTTATTGCTCTCAATTATATAAAATCACACAGGCCCTAATATTTAAAATACTCAATTATAAATTGTTTTCGAAATTATAATTATAAATTGTTTTCGAAATTATTCATACCCACGTTATTATCGGTATCTAAAAGATGACAATCTTCAAACTCATTGCGTTTTTCATCGACTTTATCAAAATTATTTTTACACAAAAAATCGCCATCACAAACGAAGTCGTTTCTTCCATCTTCAATGATAGATTCGTCAAATGTTGATTCTCTAAATCTTTTGTCATTTTCGTTGTTGTAATTTTGATATCGTTCTATTTCAAAATCTGGTGATATAGTTTGTCCTTCACTTACTGATTCTTTACCGAGTATGTCTTCTGCTTCTATGCTAGTGTTTGGAATCGGTGTGTCAGGAATTTCATTAAAATTTATTCTATTTACATTTTCATTTTTCACTTCATATTTTAACTCCGACATATCGATGCCTTCACGATTCTCAAGAAGAGGTTTAATGTTCATCAGATTATAATTAGAAATCATCCGAGAATCCCAGTGACTTGGCACCTGAACATTTTCAGATGTTGACGCTTCAAGATCTAAATGGGCATCTTCGCCTATCTTTTTAAAACTTCCAAGATTATACTGAAGGGGTATTGAGAACGACGGAAGATCCATTTGTGAGTTCTGTCTTGTTGGTAATGCTGATATATGGATTGCAGGTGCTGGTTGTTTAGTTTTAGACCCGTAATTGCTTAAACTTGATGACTCTGCTAAGTTAATTACTTGTGAAGAAGATACTGTAAATAAAAATAAAATAGTATTAGGTCACATCACGTTGTACATTTTCAGACAGAGCTATGAACAAATACAGAGAGAATACACGCACCACTGCTGTCGATTTTATTTTAAAAAATCAAATAATTATGTACAAATAATTATCACCTATTGTAATATTGTAGCTCCCAATATATGACTAATATTTTCTGTATTTGATAATAGTTAATAATCTTAAAATCTCATTAAGATTAACTTTACATCTGTCTTTGCCACGTATTTAGTAACGAGCCTTGTTTTTGCTCTAAGTTTAGTTACATTAATGCATTTACATTAAGCCTCGGACGGGAAACATATATATATATACAAATAAATAAAATTGAAGTGTCTGTTTGTAATGTCAAAATAATAGCTTTTTCCTAAAGGCATATGAAATTATATACGGTACTTATAACAAAAACACAATTTTTTAAATTTTTGTCTGTCTGTCTGTCTGTCTGTCTGTCCGTCTGTCTGTTTGTTCTCTAGTTAGTTAGTCTAAGTTTAGTTACATTAATGCAGTTACATTAAGCCTTTGTCAAATTTTTGTAATGTCAAAATAATATCTTTTTCCTAAAGGCATATGAAATTATATACGGTACTTATAACAAAAATACAATTTTTAAAATTTTTGTCTGTCTGTCTGTTTGTTCGTTCCAGCTAATATATAATATATAAAAACTATATAAAAGCTATAAATAAAAACGGCTGGACCTATTTCGACGGGACTTTCACTGGCAGATAGCTGTTGAGTTGATGGTATAAGGAGTTACTTAGGCTACTTATATTTTAGAAAAATAACTAGGGTTCCGCGCTATATAATTAAAACCCTAAATTACACGCGGGTGGAGTCGCGAGGAACAGCTAGTAATGTAATAAAGCGGAAGAGTTGTTTTGTTTTTTTTTTGTTTGTTTAAACACACAAACCTCTGGAACTACTAGTGCGGTTTGAAAAATTCTTTTTATATATTGTAGCCAGATTTATAAGAAATAATATAGGTTATCTAGCATTAGACTCTCAGCTAACCTTAAATATTGATTTTTGTTAAGCAAGTCGGAAGAAAAAGCGCTCCCAAATGTATTATCCGCGTGCGCTCGTGTAATGGTTAGTGGATACGTAAATACAATGTTCTAAAAAAATATAGATCTTTACTCCATCTAAAAAACGTCCGCAATATTATATGCCTACTTCTTATACATAAGCCACGATAAGGTATTTTGTGACGAAAAATTATGGAAAGTTAAAAAGTGATTTATAAGCATTATTATTAGGCATGGTATATTAATCCTTACGAACAAAAGTTACTTCATCATTAAGACAATTTTATGAAGATAAACTTTGCTCTGTATAGCATATTATTTGGAAAAATTAAAATAAGTCAACACTCGATGCGGCGCGCGAACGATGCATAAACCCTAGCCACACAATGAGAATCGAGAGAAACCAGCTGTGAACGCTTCTATGAGCGAGGTTAATTCAATCTTTTTAGCAAAAAAAAAATTGCAAAATTAGTGTAGTACTTTCATATATTGGAGTTAACCTAGGGGAGTGACGGTCCCCCCACGAACGGGTTCCCTCCTAGTCGTGGCGGGGGGGCTTAGTAGCCGTGGCTTGGTCAACCGCGGTGAACAAAGAGGAACCCCTTGGCTGGCTCGAGGTGTAGGGCCGGCCCGAGGTGGCCACTCCGAGTGGGCTTAGCGAGCCCACTTCGGATGTGTGTTGGTGGGCTGCGGTGGGAGGGGTGTCCGCTCCCTCTACCACTGCAGCCGAGGTGGAGTCGCGGAGGAAGAGGAGTGTTGGTATGGCGATGCGCCACTCGCCCTATCCTCCGCGACTCAAACGGGGCCGCACGCTTGATGCGGTGGTGGTGAGGCCGCGGATGAGAGGAGTGTCGGTATTGCGAGGCGCTCCCTACCCTCCGCGGCCGAAACTTAGTTGGCAGCGGAGCCCGAGACCGGATCCGCCGCTGGGGTCGGGAAGGCGGGTGCTACCGAGCCCTCGATTTTCCTGGCCCCATGGCCTTCGCGCATCGGACACGGGGGCGTCCGTTGCGCATGTTAAGTTGGAGGCCGAGGAGGAGGGCGCGCCATGTGTTCTGGTGCGCCTTACCTGAGAGGGAGATGGGGGAGGAGTAGTCCTCTACTGAGGAGAGGACGCCATGGGGCGGCCAGCGCACGTGGGGCCACGGATGTGTGCGAAAGCGTTCCCGTGGCCCTGCCAATTTGCGACGAGGGTGGAACACCATGGGGTTTTAGTCGGTGCGTCCGACTATATGCGGTCCGACATAACCCGTCCTTACCCCCGCGAGGCGGGTAAGGACGGGGTAGGCATTTCCCCATGTAAAAAAAGGGGGGTAACGCTCACCCGGTAGGGCGAGAGAGAGTGGATAAAATTTAATTTCGCTCTATGCCGATATTTAAAAGTACTCCATTAATTTTGCCAATTTTTCCATACATTGCTATCTAAAATGCTTGAACTAGATGGCATGTCATGTCGCGCGGCTCAGTCACGTGATATATGAGTGTGAAACGCGGGGCACAGCTAGTTTTCTAGATTTTTCACCAAAATAAAATTGCTTTGTAGCTTCTTACTATCTCAACAATGAGGTAGAACAAACCTGGTATCGTAATGAAGTCTCTCATTTCAAGCGCTAAAGACGATGGGGATCTGGGATCTGGCGATCTTCCACCTCGCCCTGGATATGGCTCGCAACCCGCCTTCTGCTGCTTTCGCCACTTCGCCCGACGATTTTGAAACCAGACCTGTAATATTGAAATATAACATAAAGTTTAGTAGATAAAATTAATAATACAACCGTGATTACTCAGTCTTGATTGTGTAGTGGAGATGTAAAAAAAAATTACCCCCATATCGTATATTATATTTCTCAGTCATGTGAAGTCTACTAAAACACTGTGGACTAATTGCCGCACCCTAAATTAAATGTATTAATATACAAAACAATGCCTCAGTGGTTTGATCTTAAATTTTTTCCCGTTTTATCGTTTTTTTTTTATTTTTCTATTATTATATCTATAGTTTGGTTTATTGATTTCTAATCTAATTAATATTACATATAACTAATAATACAGAAAGAAACATTAACCCTTACATTTTCCTACGAAATTATCTTCCCCGCTATGAAATCTGTCAAATATTTCACCGCATTACAAAGTGGTGCCGCGTGGCAGAAAAAATCGTGGATGCCTTCATTAGTTTTAATATCCTCCAGACTGAATTTCACCCGATCCCTAAAAAAGGCGACCGCTCAGATCCGTCCAACTACAGGCCTATCGCTATCACCTCCTTGTTCACCAAAGTAATGAAAACTATAATTAACTGCCAGCTCATGCGGTACCTTGAGGATCACCAGCTGATTAGTGACCAGTACGGTTTCCATCGAGGTTGCTCGACTGATGATCTTCTAGGTTACCTAACTCATAGATGGGCGGAGGCAGTGGAGTCCAAGGGGGAGGCGTTTATTGTTAGTTTGGACATAGCGAAGGCCTTCGATTGGGTCTGTCACAAAGCGCTTCTTTCGAAGCTTCCTTCCTATGGGCTTGCCGAGAAATTGTGCAATTGGATCACCAGTTTTCTTGCAGATCGGAGCATCAAAGTCGTAGTAGACGGTGCATGCTCCGATTACAAGCTCATTAACGCTGGTGTTCCACAAGGCTGCGTGCTATCTCCAACGCTGTTTCTGTTCTGCATATCAATGATATGTTGCAAACTGGTACCATTCATTGCTATGCAGACAGACGATAGCACCGATGATGCTTTATACATCGGCTGTGCCAATATTTATCGGTAAAACGTCGCCGAGTACCGGAACTTGTGTCTGAAGTCAGGACTTTGTTCTCTTTTCACTGGGGGCGACTAAATCTAGTCCAGTTCAATCCCCAGAAGACACAAGTTTGCGCGCTTACCGCTATAAAGAACCTCTTTGTCGTATCTCTTCAGTGTCAAGGCACTCCCCTTGTTGCCTCAGCCAGTATTGGAATCCTTGGTGTCGACATATCGAGTGACGTGCAATTTCGTGGTCATTTGAAAGAGAAGGCCAAATTGGCCTCTAAAAAGCTTGGCGTGCTCAGCAGAGTCAGGACAGTATTTCATGCCGGCACACCGCTTGCAACTTTACAAGGCGCAGGTTCGACCCCACATGGAATACTGTTCCCATAACTGGGCAGGGGTTTCCCAATGCCAGCTCTTTCTACTAGACCGCATCCAGCGTAGGGCGGTTCAAATCGTGGACGACCGAGTTCTTTTCGAACAGCTTGATCAGCATCTCTTTGCGTATTTTATCGCATGTACCACTGGGAGTGCTCTGAGGAATTATTCGGACTAATTCCAGCCGCTCAGCTTCACCATCGCACATCGCGACAAAACTCGCGATACTATCCATACCATCTGGATGATTGGCAGTCCACCACTGTGCGATTTAGAAGATATTTTCTTTCTCGCACAACTTCCTTGTGGAACCGATTACCAGGACCTTCAAGAAAAGAGCCTACTCCTTTTTAAAAGGCCGGCAACGCATCTGCAATTTCCCTGGTGTTGCGGTTGTTCATAGGCGGCGTTCATAATTTTTAGATTATAAGATATTTGAGCCATGCTGCAGCTATATTAATAGTGTAGTTGTAGCACGAATGGTTCGGTTCGACCGGGGAAGGACCACGCTCTCACAGAATACCAGCGTATTTTTTTTTATAGGATCGGGTGACAAACGAGCACACAGTCCACCTGATTGTAAGTGGTTACTGTGACCCATAGACATCTACATCTATCCTCAATTAAGACTCAAGATGCAGATGCGTTTTCACCCGTGAGGACTAAGATGGAATGCCTCTTTGCCAGTAAAAAGGGTCTCCGTTTCTCTACACTCACCATACGAAACACCAGGGTTAAGCTGCTATTTTACGCTGGTTTTCTGTGAGAGCGTGGTCCTTCCCCAGTCGAGCCGACCCATTCGTGCTACATCCATAATATAGCTGTAGCATGGCTCTACCACGTAGAAACATTTGTTCTTACCATCTTGTTTATTTCTTTCTTCATTCCACAAAAACCAAAAATCTTTTAACCTAGTTTAGTCCTCAAGTCGGACGCAAAAATATCACATTCTATATTTCTGTCATGTTTGTTAGTAGACCTATTTAAGCAATTATGACAGAGAAATAAATATATTATTTTCTTTTCATTTCATCACAAGGATGGGTGACGAGGACGCGGGTACACCTACTAAACCTCTCACTTGCTTCATCATCATCATTACAGTTCTTCACAAGTCCACTGCTGAACTTAGGCCTCCGCCAAGGTATGCCACAAATCACGGTCCTGAGCCACCTTTTCTCACTTGTTTAAGCTACATTTATTGTTGCGGCCACAAATCTGTGCAAATGTTAATGAACTTATACGAGAGACATAGATGACTATTTTTTTTTACATAGATGACATAGATTTATTTACCTGAACCCTAGCTTCGGTTAGGTCTATTCTCATCGCAAGCTCTTCCCTGAAGAACACATCAGGGTAATGAGTTTTGTGAAATGCAGCCTCTAACTGCTCCAGTTGAATGTTAGAAAACGTTGTCCTGAAATATGGCATTAATGCAAATATTGGAATATTAATATAAATTGATGAATATAAATACTTTTTTTATCATTATCATTATCATTAAATCAATCAATAAATATATTCCTTATTGTACATCAATACACATTAAAACGAAAACAAAATGAAATAAATTATATAGAAGGTACTTTAAGCGGTCTTTCCACTCTGGAAACGATTTATTCCAGACAACATTTTTACGCAAAGAACTTTTGTTTACAACGAAGGTGACATACACCTATAAACAAGATAAAAAAAGTATACGAAAAAATAAAACCACAAGATGATGACAGTTGAGGATAGGTATGAATTGCCATAGTTTATTATTTTAGTTGTTTATATATTTTAACCATGTAGTGGCTGTGTAAGAATATCCACTACCCCAAATCATTCTTTGGGTGTCGTAAGAGACGACAGAGGAAAACTAAGCCAGAAGGTGGGCAGCAGCATAAAAAAAACTGCGGCTGCCAACCTGCTGGCCAAGCGTGGCAACTATAGCAGATATCCCTCCTATGAGGCAATCTATGGGGGAGGCCTATGTTCAGCAGTGGACTTTTTAGGCTGTAAATGTAAAGATAATGTAATTTGTTATCAGGGCTACTGGCCATCTTCTGCTTTAGTTTCCCTCTTTCGCCCCTTTTTACTGTTTTTTTTTTATTTCGACAGACGTAAAATTAATTCATTACATGATAAAAAAGAGATACTTACCGGTATCTTCTTTGTTTTCGTTTCGGAACATCACTTTTTGAATCTAAAATAAAATAAAATAAAATATGAATGAGTAATAGTAATAATAATATTAAGATTTAAGAAAATATGCACTGATCATGAGCAGTGATGATCCTATTAAGTATAAGTAGGTCATGGTCATAGAAATATTATGTTGTCATCGGTTTCATTTACGTCTGCTAAATTTCAGATTATTCAGACGTCTGGAAGTGGGTGAAAACATAATTACTAAATTCCATTGCGTACCAAGCGTGTAATAATTATTATAATAATATCTCAAGGCGACAGAAAATCAGTGACGGACAGCTCCGGACTCAAACGCAGGAGGCGGTGCTCATCGATACCGCCAGCATCGACCGCCGCGCCGGTTTCTTTCTCTTTCCGCCTAACCCTCGGCCGTTTGGTTTCCCCTGCCGAAGACTGTCTTCATGTTGGGTTTTTATTTAATTATTTATTCGACTTTATTTCTTACATCTTACTATATCAACATTTTTTTTATTTTATTGCATCTTATTTATCATCTTTATATATATAATTCTTCTGTCTGTAAGTACGTGACTGAACCCCTCCTAAACTAAACTCCCGCTAAACTTAAAATTTTGATGAAAAATTTTGTGTGTGTGATTAAGTTGATTCGAGAATGGTTTACAATTGGATCCGGTAGGTGGCGTCGTAGTCGAGATACAGAAAACACCGCGAAGCCTAAGCGGATCGCTAGTTTTCATATATTTATATATTTCAACCAGACGAGAATATTTCTAAAATATCCCAAAATAAAATAAATAATAATTCTTTATACATCTGCAAGATTTCACAATATTCAGACGCATGAAAACGTGAGTTTTTTTATAGGATAGGGTGACAAACGAGCACACACATTTACTCGTTTGCGAATCAAAATGCAGATGCGTTGTCACCCGTAAGGTCTAAGATAGAATGCCTTTTTCCAGTAAAAAGGGTCTCCGCTTCCCTACACTCACCATAGGAAGCACAGCAGTGTTAAGCTGCTATTTTATGCTGGTATTCTGCGAGAGCGTGGTCATTCCCCGGTCGAGCCGACCCATTCGTGCTACAACTATACTATTTGAGTGAAAACTAAATTAAAGAAAATTCCGTTACATTCATATATACATAGGAACATTTAGTTCAAGCTTTTATAAAGCGTGTAAAAAGTTAATATAAATAATAAGTAGATAAGGTGACAACGTAACAATCCATCGCTTCAATGTCTTATATCGTCCACCTCCGTGACTTCCTGACAAAGCGATTTAAATATATTCGTATATACCAAATTTAAAATCTCTTATACCGTTGACGGTATGCAGGGTTTAACTGTTTGGGGAGGGGAGAAGCGGATGATAAGGATAGAGGAACTATTTAGTTTTATGTTAATGGTTGCTCGAAGTTTTTATTACCAGTTAGGTCGAGGTCACGAGGAAGACTTTTTATTGTGCCGTAAATATACCCTCAAATGTAAACATAGGTAACGCTTATGCTATATTAGAGGTAGGCTTTGATACTGTGTCAGAGACTAACGAAAATATTATTTGTTTTTATGAACATTGGATGACGCAGTTTTTTTATAATTTTAATTTGTTATTATTTACCTCAGTCGCCTCTTATGCCGCCCCAACACGGCGTGGCAATTATGCGCAACCAAGCCTGGCAACTATGGAAAATATGAGACAATCTATGGAGGAGGCCTATGGTTCAGCAGTGGACTTTTGATATGTTGTTATGAATGATGAACATGATAATTGAGTGAATTATGAACTTTATTGACTCCGCGTGGAATTCAAAATATACGAAACAGATACTCTGACTATACTAAAAAGATTCTTTGTTATTCTTTCGTATGGTCTTACTTATGTAATGTTACTACGTAACTTATATAATTAGAATTGTCTTTTACCGTACAACTTACTTGAATTAGGCGAATACTCTTCGTCGTCCTCATACTGATGGGTTTCGATAGCGTCTTCTGTATGTTCAGTGTTGGTTGCATATGCATCACCGGGTTCAGTCTCAGGGCGTTCACATAGAACGGATCCAGGACCTAGTCTATGAACAAAATGCATATACAAATTGATTTCTACGCCTTCTAAGATCCGAAAAGGAATGCAACCGTGTTTTCGTCGATGAATGCTTTTTGCCAGGCTTGTACTGCTGTTGTAGTCAGGCGCTGGTCTAAGGGAAGAGTCATTCGGTCATGACCATCTCTTATCCAAAAAAAATTTTTTTTAAAGTATAATTTTGTTACTTACTCAAATATGCATAAACTTTCCTGTGCATAGTCCTTGATGATAGAGAATACTTTATTTTCAAAGCTTATCTCATTTTAACTCTGATGAGAAAAGTATGATGAGGTAAGCTAAGTTCTTAAGCATAACTTTCTCATCATACTTTAAAGAAGTCAACAACTCTTAAGTCCTAGATTGACTTCTTCTAACGACTGTGAGAAGGCACGTTGCTCCCATTTGATTTTATCGTCTATCGTTATCATAAAAATACATTTACGTGGTAAATGTGATTTATAAATATCATTTACGTGGTAGAGCCATGCTGTAGCTATATCAGTAGTATAGTTGTAGCAGGAATGGGTAGGTTCGACCGGGGAAGGACCACGCTCTCACAGAATACCAGCATAAAATAGCAGTTTAACACTGCTGTGTTTCGTATCGTGAGTGTAGAGAACCGGAGATCCTTTTTACTGGAAAAGAGACATTCCAACATAGTCATCACGGGTGACAACGCATCTGCATTTTGATTCGTAAACGAGGATAAATGTAGATGTTTATGGGTCACAGCAACCACTTACCACCAGGTGGACTGTGTGCTCGTTTATCACCCTATTCCTATAAAAAATCATCATCTTTACAGCCTTTCACAATTTCACATTTTTGATCATTCAAGAAGACCTCCCTCATAGATTATCTCGTAGGGGGTTGTTTGCAATTGTTGCAATGCTTGGCAGGCTGGCTGACAACCGGAATTTTTATCATTTTGAGTTGCTTTCAGGAATATGCTGATGCCCATCTCCTGTCAATCTCTCCGTTTGTCGCCTCATACGAACCCACGGAAATATATACTGCCTACACCTACACGGTTAACTATAATGTAGTGATAAAAGAGGTTGTACTGTTGTACTAACTTACCCGTTAAAAAGATTTGGAATGTTGTAACAGAAGCTGGTGGTTGGAGATACATCGTCGTTTAAAATTGCCGCGGAATCGAAACCCGCAGCGCCCGCTCCGGTCTCGCGTCCGTCCAATGACTCTTCCATCTATTGAAAATTATAATTTAATAAAATTATTCCTTTTACAAACCTTGGAACAATAATAGATTCTCGTCGATATAAAGTAACACCCACTCTTAGCTGACCGATTGAGGATCGGAAGTATCAAAACATTTCGACTGCGAGTACACGGCTCCGGCCTGTGTATTTTGTATATTGACTGCCTCATTAGATTAGAGATCTATGTTAATAATACTCAAAATTTGATCTAGATCTCAATATTTTTGGCCCAGAAGAAAAACCCGCGACCTCTTTTTTTATATAGGATAGGGTGACAAACGAGCACGCAGTCCACCTGATGATAAGTGGTTGCTGTGGCCCATAGACATTTATCCTCGTTTGCAAATCAAAATGCAGATGCGTTGTCACCCGTGAGGACTAAGATGGAATGCCTTTTTTCCAGTAAAAAGGGTCTCCGGTTCTCTACACTCACCATACGAAACACAGCAGTGTTAAGCTGCTATTTTACGCTGGTATTCTGTGAGAGCGTGGTCCTTCCCCGGTCGAGCCGACCCATTCGTGCTACAACTATACTACTAATATAGCTGCAGAATGGCTCTACCACGTATAAAATCTGATCATCTGATGATGCTTTTGATCAGCAGTCACGCTTACGACCACTAGAACAACGGGGCTGTCATATGTCCGTAAGAGGAAATCTCTAGAGGACGCCTATGTTCTCCAGTGGATTTGTTCTGTGTTTTAACGAAAGAATGAATGTTTATTTATTAATTCAAATTGTAAAATATATTTCAGGCTGACGCTTTCCGGTTTGTACATTTTTGTTCTATTTAATCCAGACAAATTTGTATATGTATATTGTGTATAATAATTCCTACGCAGTAGGGCTAAAGGTAAACACAATAATGCCCTGTAATTTCAAAACTAAGCGCAATATTAGAAGAAAGATTTGTTAATGTCATATTAATCCTATAAAACTTATTATTTTAAATACTGTAGATTAAATGTTGTAACTTTTTATTATAACTGAAATAACGGCTCGATAGTACTCGATACCACAGTGGCTAAGCGGTTAGCTGCGGAGCTGTAGGGCAGCGGGTAGAAATCCCGCACGGAAAAAGTATTTATAGTTCCAGTTCTGAATGTTTGTGCTTGTGAATTTATGTAACCTCCACGACACAGCTTGGACATAATGGTTTTTAGGGTTCCGTGCCTCAATAGGAAAAAACGGAACCCTTATAGGATCACTTTGTTGTCCGTCTGTCTGTCTGTCAAGACCCTTTTTCTCAGGAACGCGTGGAGGTATCAAGCTAAAATTCATACCAAATACTCAAGTCTACTGTCCCTTGGAGCTGTGAAAAAATCAAACTTCTAAGCCAACGCAATCAAAAGATACAGCCGTTTATGCCGCAAATTTGCGATATTCGCAAGGGAATCAAAAACTACAGGGTACTTCCCGTGAACTCAGAATCTTGAAATTTGTTACGAAGCAACGTATTATAGAACAGATAAAGGAAAAATTGCGAAAAACATAAATTTTTAGTTACATCATATAATCAAAATATTTTTAATAATTTTAAACTTATATACCTACGGATTTGTTCGGAACCCTCGGTGCGCGAGTCCGACTCGCAGTTGGTTGGTTTTGGGTGTCGTAAAAGGCGATAAATAAATAATAAATTCTTTATTTTCTTCACAAGAAACGGAAAATGAAACGGACATAAGCAGCACCATCTTCCTGATAGCAATATCTCAAAATAATAATAAAACTGCAGTTGCCAATCGGCTTGCAAAGCATGGCAGCTGTGACAAGTATCACCCCACCCCCCATATTTTACAGTTACAAAATTCGCCTAAAATTTATATAATATTATTTCTTGATATTTTTAAGAGTTTTTCTCTTTAATTTAAGATGGTTAAGAGGAAATGCGGGCCGAGAGACTTTTGAAAATTAGTTATTTAAAGAAACTATCGCTGTCATTCTGCGAGCGCTGATATGCGATCCGACTGAATAGCCTGAGTAAAAAACATAATTAGAGGTTTGGCTCTCTAACATTTCCTCCTCCAATATTGGACCAATTTAAAAGATATTTCATAAACTGTATAAGAAGGATCATACACTGTGTTCCTATGTTTTTCTTTTTTCAGTGTAAGTTATCAAATTTGAACACTATGCCACTGTTGACAAAGGTCTAAATAGGTTATTTTGAGCATTTTTTAAGGGTCCAGTGCTTATAAAGATAATGTATCATCAAAAAGGAAAACATAGGGGCATAGAAGAGGCTGATATTTATTTTACTGTAAAAACTGATTGCTATAAGGTCATAAACCAGAAAGAAAACAGGTGAGAGCGTTTGTATGGAGAAAAGACCACCCGCATTTCCTCTTGACAAAGAAATTTAACGAAAGATAAAATATATTTAACTTAGTTTTACAAATATGTTCTTTAATATAATTAATAGAATCAGGCGTTACTTTCCGGAAATCCATTATATTAAAGCTTTTAAAAAATTTACTTCGAAAAAATCCGCTCTATAAAATAAAATGATGTGTCTTACCTAGTATGAAGAGCACCTCCCGCCCTCCCACCACTAATCCCAGCACCACTACTCCCAACACCACTACACTAGGAAAGACACACCACTGACGACAATATGACACGTGTTTCGCCTGTACACGAGGCATCCTCAGGTGATGTAGACACTGCGGTGGCTGACCGTCAAGACGTCTTGAGAGCTTTTTAAAAGCTTTAAAATATGTTCTTTTAAAAATTAATGTAAATATTTTCTAAATTAACTGAATTTAATGTTCAAACCCTGTGACAACGCGGAAAAACCTCTATAATGGGAGAACTTTATCTTTGTATTTAAGGCTCATAAAGTAAAATGAATAACTACATAGGAGTGACAACCTGGTAAGACATGCAAGAAGTCGATAGATGCAAATGGTTCAGAATCACTTTATAGCATTCCTTGAGCATTGGACTTATGATGAGCTGTAACGATTATGACGATGATGATGATGATGAAAGTGGAGGATTAGAAATACTCAACATTTTAACGAAATATTATTTCAACTGCATTTGTCAATACTTATGAAATAACATTCATTTTAACCTACTTCTAAAAAGAAGAACGTTATCGATTCCAATTCCAATATTATTTACTACTAGCTGTTCCCCGCGACTTCGCCCGCGTGAAATTTAGGGTTTTATGTTGCGCGGAACCCTAATACTTTTTCTAAAGTATAAGTAGCCTAAATTACTCCTTATAATATCAGCTATCTGTCAGTGAAAGTCTCGTCGAAATCGGTCCAGCCGTTTTGGAGATTAGCCGGAACAAACAGACAGACAGACGGACAGACAGACAGACAAAAATTTTAAAAATTGTGTTTTTGTTATAAGTACCGTATATACTTTCGTATGTATTTAGTAAAAAGCTGGTATTTTGACATTACAAACAGACACTTCAATTTTATTTATTTGTATAGATTTGTAACACAATATCATCGAAGTTAACTGATTTGTTGATGTTTATTTTATTAAATGAGTATTCTTATATTGTTCTTAAGATCCGAAAATACTTTAAGCGGTTTATATTTAAATTAATCCAACTACACAATATTATTCTTTTGAACCGAAAAAGGAAAAATATTTTTTTTGTTAAGTTGAGCTTTGTTTTACGTCTTAGATAAAACACACTAAGTTATATTATATCATTCTATGTATATGTATAGGCACTTAAACCTATAAGTAAGTAACAACAAGTGGCGGCGACAGTTCTTAAATCGAATTAAATGTCTATAATTTAGTTAAGTTTATTAAATTACTAGTAAATGAGTATAATTTGTGGCGTATTCCCGTTTACGCTGACAGTTTCATTGGTGCTTGAGAGATAGTGTGGTCTTTTCGCGCCAAAAATTGACACGACGTAACCTTCTTGAAAAATTTGACGCTAAAAGTTGTATTGAAATGTTTTTTTTTAATGTAGAGTGATTATATTCTCTTTGTAGTTTCACAAATATTATTGCAGTACATTTTTTTAATTTGTTATGATTATATTATGTGTTATGTGAAATTTATTATAATAACATAACGTTTATTGTATGCAATGTATGTAGTAGTGTGGTTTACTATGCATGGTATTAAATTGTTGAAACTATTATTCTTGTTTTTACATTACTTACATTGCTTTTTATAGTGTCTAATTTAATCAAATTCTTAGATATTTTCTAAATATTGAAATATGGCATTAATATTTTGATTCTTAATCTAGGTCTATGGACCACAGCATCCATTTTCCACCAGGTGGGGTGTGTGCTCGCTTGTCACCCTTATTCTATAAAAAATAAAACTTTTAAAAGTAGTACATTTTATAACATACGTAAAGTTTAACACAAAATTTGTAATATTACCTAAAAATGAAAATGTAAAAAAAAATGTAAATGTAAAGTAGAACTATATGATAATTAAATTTCTAGTTTTAGTTTTTATTTATTATTATAGTTTTTAATATTGTATATAATAAAATATTGTATATTATGCTACGTAAATAAATATATTTTTGTTTGTATAATATGTGTTTGGTATAATAATATTATGTTTAAATGACAGATATTTTCCTAATAGACTTTTTTAAACAAATTCTTTTTTATGTCTTTGAACACTTGGAAGCTAATCTTAGAATAATATGATTATAGCTGTGTTTTGATTTATTAGCGTATATTTGAAATACAATAAACTTTAGTTCAATAATTTCATGTTTAACACGCAATAAAAAATTGAAAATTTTAAAAGCTATCAAATTATTATTAGCTTACCCTTATTTGAAGACAGCCGCAAAATTTATTACTTAATTACTTATAAATAAAACTAATAACTTGTAAAGGCTGTAACTATTGTCACGTGGTCGACACTACTGAAGTGAACACCCGCGGATCCACTGTCGCTACCGGAACAAGACCTAATAGAGACGCCGATATCAATTTTTATTTCAAGTCTTAACACGGTTAGTATTCAAAATGTATTA